CCATTGTTACTGTCAGGTTGAAATAATTTCAGAATTTGCTGTCAGCTAGCGGAACTGCACTGGAATCGTAGAGACGCGAACAAAGCGATTGAGATGTACAAAGAAGCGATTAGCTTGAACAATACAGACATAAATGTTAGAATAAGCTTTTCCATTTTCAACGCTCTGTAGACTAGAGGTGTTGCTTTCTTTACTGGCAACTGATGGACTTAGCGTATTTGATGTGAACGTAAGGCCACCTGTGAAAAAAAGAAGTGGAGAAAACATTCGGAGGAGCTCTGATGAGATGGCTCATGTATGTACTTGAAAAGATGCAGTGAGGGATCATGCAGTTCGAGATAAATGTTCCTGGTAGGGTTGCTCTGGCGACTGGGTATACCGCTGTAATTCTGGTGCTCCACAGCGGAGGTGAGGCCGATTTTGGTGTTCAAATGAATCCTCGCGTGCAAGCACATCCTCTGGGAGTATTGCTACATTTCCTTGTGTTCGGTGAAGGTTGCATGAGTACCACGGTAATCCGCGTTTTTATTAATATGCTCTTCATCATCCCGACCATCTTGTTTCATCCTAATGTTTATCCAGCTTCTCTATTTTTGTTCCTTTTAATCAGCTCAGCTTCAGTTTTTTATGACAGTAAAATTAATTAATTAATGATGGACGACTATGTGGAGTACTAAAGAATGAACTTTAGGAACGAAATTTCTCTTGATAAAATATGCTACAAGAAATAACTGGTGCGGGCAATTGACTAGCGGGGTGGTTAACTTGAGAGCTAGCTTGGAGCATATAATCCATTATACATGCTTTTGTAATAAGGCCACAACTAGCCCCTATCAGCATGATAATTTTCATAATATACTTGATTTTGTACTTTAGTCAGCTGCTGTTTCATCTTTGTTTTCAAGAAATTCCCGACACTGATACAGTTAATAGTCCCATCGTTTGCTGCTGTGGGCCCCTCTCATTCACACTGTTCCGGATAAGCTTTCACGTGAACTCTTTCATCATAATTATTTTTTCTCTGTGTTCAATAACGATTGCTTGCTTCCAATTCAATATTCTGTTTCCTGTTGCCCAACAGATCTTCTGAAAATGATGTGAAAAACTGCGTAATCAAAATCTTTATCCGTAAGAGTTAGTTGAAATTTAATTTTGGAACTTCCGCCGTTATTGGCGCGCAACGTGCTGGATTATTTGCCCCAAATCAACTAGTTCTGAGCTGTCTAGCTCCAGTTATAACTCCTTAATTGCACTCGTCATTTGTAATATTCAGTTTCAGACAATGACATCGCTTGCGAATTTGTATTTATCACTGGGCAAACTGGATGCTTGTAATACACAGTGCCAGCTTATCCTGAACATCGACAGGAACAACGACGATGCAACACTTGTTAGTTAATCCGATAGGATAATACGGTACTTCTGTCGGAGTTTTAAGCCTGGCTAAGTATAACATGTAAATCTTTATTGATTTGGCTGCATGGGCATTCAATACAAATCCCGTGATCAGGAATTTCCAGCAACTGTAGTGGAGCACTAAGGCCAGCAGTTTTTACAAGGATTCTTGTTTATGCCTTTTTGTCTATTATGCATACGCAAGAGAGCATGCTGTCAAGAGGCTGTCTGTCTGTGCGTTTGCGTGTATGTGGGTGTGAGTGTGTGTTCGAAAGCGTGTGA